GCAGATAGCCAGTGGGGGGGGGGAAGAGGGAGGGTTGGCTAGTTGTGGTAAGAGCTTGTGCAAACATTCCCTCCTAATGGATTTCTCAAATGTATTGGCAGAGAGGCAAGCAAAGGCAGGTGTCACATCAAATACCTTCTTCTATGAAACTTGATCTATCCAGTCTTAATCTGGTATACTCATTCTCACTTTTAAAGGATTTCTCTGTTGGCTGCTTAGCTCCTAAATACTCAATATGAGCTTGGGGACTAGAACAGAAAACTAGTTTAGCAGATGAAGAAGTCTTGGTCTAGCCACTCATTAAGAAACATATTTTGGCCTTGCTCTCTGGCATAATTTTTGTAAGCAGAGTCATGTTTGCGTTTATGTAGCTGTTTTTCTGTATATTCACAAGATTGTCTTCATGTTGAAACATTAGGGCAATTATTGTCATTAGAATTTATTTATTTTTTAAAAAAATGAAGATGAACAAGCTTCATGTACACAGCCCAAGACTGGAGGCACACAGCTGCATTTGGGAGGCCCTGCTGAGGTTCGAGTGCAGGAGGGGCTCCAGACTTGTGCCCCAAGGTCACACCCTTACAGCACCTCTGGCTAAGGCCCTGGAGACCTGCTGCAATCTGAGCTAACAGTCCTGAGCCAGAAAAACCATAGGTTTGACTCTGTGCAGGAAAGTTCCTTATTGGAAAATACTACTGAACAATTCACCATGAACAACAAAAAAAGAGCCTTTGACCCATGAAGAGCATTCTCTGTCGAGAAAAAAATGAACAGAGAAATTAGTTGGCAGCTGTAGTCTTCAAATCACATAGAGCTCCTTTAACTGAAATGTGCCTGTTCTATTGAAAGCAGTCGCAGCCAAAGTTTGTCTTAAGCCATCTAGCTTGACAGTTTCCATGTTCAATAATGCATAAGCAAGTGATGTTCATTTCCCTTTGACTTCCCCAGAACAATATTAAATATCCATTTTTAGTCTGACTGGGGTATGATTATCCCATTCACAGAAGTCTACATACGATTACTTTGAAGTAAGTTCAGTTGTAACTAGGATCAGAACTGGCAATTGAGGAGTGTGGATGTGAAGTTCCGGTTCCAGTTGTTGGTGAGGAGTGCAGCATTGGCATTTCACAAGAGCTTATTTTATATTTTCTTTCTTATTTACATACATAATTCTCTTTTTTCTGCCCATCTTCTTCTCTATTATTTTGGTTAGATAGCACTTATATGATGTTGTCTGCCATTTAAGTGTCTTATGTTTTCGGGACTTATGTTATGCTTAGGGAATTAACGACTGGTGGAATTTAACTCCCTGACTCCCCTTTTGTGTTTTTTTTTCCTTCTCAGCTGCTGCTTTGATAATGCTGACCTTGATCAGTTGTGCTGTCTGAGATATAACTTTTATTTTATTTTAATGTATAATTAGTTAGGATTAGATAGGATTAGGAGCTGCAGTGGCTCAAGTGGTTAAGACACTGAACTGCAGGCTGTGGAAGGTCAGTAGTTCAGCAGTTCGAGACCCAGGATGCCGCATGACGGAGTGAGCTCCCGTCTCTAGTTCCAGCTCCTGCCAACCTAGCAGTTCAAAAGCAAGAAACTGCAAGTAGATAAATAGGTACCACTTTGGTGGGAAGGTAACAGCGTTCCGTGCGCCTTGGTGTTTAGTCATGCCGGCCACATGACCACGGAAATGTCTTCGGACAGCGCTGGCTCTTCGGCTTTGAAACAGAGATGAGCACCGCAACCCTAGAGTCGGATTCGACTGACTTTCGAGCAAGGGAACCTTTACCTTTTTAGATAGGATTAATGCATTAACCTATTTTAAGGTTGAGCTGTAACCTATTTAACGTTAACTTTTAATACTGTCAATTTGAACCCCTTTTAACTCATTCAATTTTATCAATTTTATCTTCCCATAATTTAATCCAGTTGTTTCTGATAGTTTTATTTTCTAAACTATTCTTAACTGTTTCCAATTGTTTATTGTCTTTTAAATATTCTTTTAACTATTTTATGATACTCAGTAGTGGGGCTTAATTTAAATTTAAATTAATTGTAGAAACTAGAGAAATAGAATTTATATTAAGTTTTAGACTGAAGGTCCTCTATGAGTCCTGTATTTTAGTGCTAAACGATATTTATTATAAGGGAAGAGGGAGTAGTAGGTAAGGTGGGAAAGGGGAGAAAAGGGGGAGGGGTTGGGACAGAAAAGGGTAGAAAAGGAAGAAATTTTGATGAATCTTGCAATTCCCCTAAATTTGCTAACAGTAGTGTCCCTATTTTACTTTGTGCTGATGTTCCTCTTATTTTATCACATACAGGAATTGGCTTACTGAGATCTTTAAAAATCTATGATTATTGCAGGAATGAAACCCTATCAATTAATTATAATAAATCTAAGATTCTACTGTTCTCTAAAAACAGAAGATGAGCCCCCTCAGCATAAATTATAAATGGATATATAATTGAACAAGTAAAAAAAAATTCTAATCTGTTCTCAGTTGATCTGTCCTGGAAATCTCACTTTAACGTTGCACTTAATAAGGAAAAACTGTGCTCTGGAGCTATCAGAAGTTTCTTTTATTCCAAAGGGGCCAGATATGTACTTGGAGCTCTTCAGGTTTTCAACCTAAAGGTTGTTCCCCTCGTTCTTTTTGGATCTGCAATTTGGATAAATACAGTTACAGTTAAAATTGACATTCCACTCTCCCAGTTTCTGAGAAAACTAATGAATATTCCCTATTGTGTTTCCAATATTGTCTTGCGGGCAGAATTTGGACAGAAGTCATTAAAGGCTAGAGCATGGCTCCTTGCTTTTAAGCTGAGGATAAAAAAATTGTTCTCTACATGCTTGAAAATGGTTGACAGTAAACTATTATTAATCAGTATGAACCCCCCCCCCCAAATATATTGGCCTGGGGAAGGCATGATTCTCTTATCTTGATTAGAAATATGCCTTGAACATTGACCATCACAGTACCTTAATGAGAGACCATCATGTTTATTGAATCATAGAATCATGGAGCTGGAAGGGACCGCCAGGGTCATCTAGTCTAACCCTCTGCACAAGGCAGGAAATTTACAAATACCTCTCCCCCACACCCCCAGTGACCACTGTTCCATGCCCAGAAGATGACAAAAAACCTCCAGGATCTCCAACCAAACTGACATGGAGAAAAAATGTTTCCTGACCCCAAAGTGGCGATCAGCATTTCCCTGGGCATGTAAGAAAGGGCCACAAGAACTAAGCACTGATGCAACCCTTCCTGCCCTCCCTCTCATGATCTTTCTAAGTTCACAGAATCAGCATTGGTGTCAGATGGCCAGTTAGCCTCTGTTTGAAAACCTTCAAAGAAGGAGAGCCCACCACCTTTCAAGAAAGCCTGTTCTACTGTGGAACCCAGGAAGTTCTTCCTAATGTTTAGCTAAAAACTCTTCTGATTTAATTTCAACCCGTTGGTTCTGGTCTGACCTTCTGGGGCAACAGAAAACAACTCCATACCATCCTCTATATGACAGCCCTTCAAGTATTTGAAGATGGTTTTATGGCATCCCTCTTATTTCTATTATTTCTCAGTTCACGGTTTTGTAGGTTCATTCCTTCTATGGTTTTAAAGGGCAATGTGTATTCTGGCAGAATTTGCCCTTGTGGACTGCAAATGATCGATATGCCTTCCACATTTTGCTTGAGTACCCTGTGTTTATGACTCTCAGGAACTGCTATGTTATTCCCCTGTTAAGCAACCACTTACCTCCCTATTCTTTGGAAACTGTTCTCGTCTTACTCGAAGATAGTGGCCCAAAAATTACATTGGTTGCGGCTAAATATGTATCAGTCCTTTTAACTCTTGGTTCCAAATAGAATATCTAGAAACTTTCTGCTGCTCAAGATTATATATCTGTGAGCTTCTAGGGTTGAAAGGAAAGAATTGGCAATTCAAATTACAGACATTTGTGACTGCTGTCATTAAATGCTCCAAGAGATTAGCTATCTCAAGTAAGAATTGAATAATTATATTCTCTTTTGTCAATGATGTCTGAACAACTCAGTTCAGGCTAATCACATATAGCATTAAGCTCCCATTTAAAGCTGGCTGTCATACTTCTATGCTAAAAATTGGAAACAATGGAGGATACCTTCTTTGGGGGCCCATAGAATTGGACCCCCTGGTCCAGTCTTTTTAAAACTTGGGGGGGGGGGGTTGAGGAGAGGCACCAGCAGCTATGCTGCAAATTTGGTTCCTTTACCTAAAAACAAAACAAAACCACCAGCCCTCCAGAGCCTCAGATACACCCAGATCGATTCTTCATTATAATGGTCCCCTTAGGATATAATGGAGCTGAAAAAATTCATCAGTTCTGAATATTTACTGAATCTGAATACCATACCAGTACTGGGATTTGGGAATATTGGGAAACACTAATATTTTTCAGGTTCAGGTTCGAAAACCCGAAAAATACTTCTGTTTTTGCACAACGTAGTGATCACCCTCCCTTGCAACAATAACTAAATATGGAGCTGGGTATCCCACATTTCCATTTCTCTAATTTTAGCCTTTAAGTCATTTACATTAGAACTTAGTAGAATTTGTTCGTTTTATATACACAAACCAACTGTTAATTCAATCCTAAACACATTTGCTGGGAAATAAGTACCACAGAACTCAGTGAGATTTCACTTTCATGTAAGGTTGACATACAGGTTCTCTTTCCCTTTTTGCTCTATCATGCCCATGTAGATGAGGAAGCATAGTCATGACATCAGAGAATCAATAAACACAGCTGCAGGCACTGTGATTCTTGAGGTTTTTAAAGTGTTTATAAGGCTGTATAATGAGAAGGCTGCAATCTTCCTAATTTCCATAACAAATAAGCAACTTGGAGCACCATTCCTCTGGAGATGGTTTTGCAATCACTCATGTCTGTTGGCCACTGAGTTGTATTTACCCCATGGGTAGGTTAACTGTTCTCTTAACAAGATCCTTTTAATGTCCTCTTAACAGATCTGAAAGACTTCAAGTATGACGGCCAGCATGTGATAGAAGTTGATGAGGGAAATACAGCTGTGATTGCATGTGATCTTCCTGAAAGCCACCCCAAGGCACAGGTCCGCTACAGTGTGAAACAAGAATGGCTAGAGGCCTCCAGAGGTGAGTTCTGGCAGATTGGGAAAGGAGGAGCAACTATATAATAATAGATTTAACTGTTCTATTTCCCACTTTTAAAAATTTTTGCCTTTCTTTTGGCTGTGGCTTAGGATGGATACGGATACAACAGTAATGTCCACTGACTGATGGGATTTCCTTCAGTTGAGCAGGACTTCTTTGCCTTCAACCGCAGCCCCAAAGGCCCCCCCCCAAATGCTTCTCCAACAGGACAGGGTATACTCAGGAACAGAACAAGTTATGGCATCAGAGGTCTGCAGCAGGAGTGGGAATTTGCCAAAGTCATTTTATTTATTTATTTATTTCATTCCATTTCTATCCCGCCCTCCTGCACGCAGGCTCAGGGTGGTTTACAAGGCACAAAGGGCTATAAAACAGATAAATTAAAACAACAGAAGCTAAAAACATTGACAACTCACAGGATACACGAAGGACTAAAATAGCGCACTCTCCATTGCATATCAGGAGGAGGTCAGAGGTCAAAAGTCAGAAGGGGGACGCCATGAGCCATGATGTTCCAATTACTCATCAGCCCACCCCGGCGGTCCTGCTCCGCAGTTATGTGGTGGTGGTAGTGGCGGCGGCGGCCCCTACTCAAAAGCCTGGCGGAAGAGCTCCATCTTGCAGGTCCCGCAGAGCCCTGATCTCCTCTGGGAGCTCATTCCGCCAGATAGGGGCCACCACCGAAAAGGACCTGGCCCTCGTGGTAGCTAGCCTGGCCTCTTTAGGGCCCGGGGTCACTAAACAGTGCTGTGACTCCGACCGAAGTGCTCTTTGGGGCCTATATCCCACCTTCCATGCATGGGTATCCTCTGCTTGCATCCAAGCCTTTTCCTCCCATCACTCTTGGCTGAGAGTCACCAACACAACTTTCTCCATCCCAAAGATCCAGAGCCTCTGCCACAGTCTGGTGCAATGGAAATAACTTGAAGGATAATACAATGAGACCTGAAACAGCTTTAAAAATGTAGTATAATGTCTCAGATTTTCAGACCATTTTATAAGGCTGAAGTGTGATGGCTACATATGGGCTCACCTTGAGAAAAATGTCCTGTCCCTTTAATACAGGCTTAATGTGTAGAAATGGGCAGCTGAAACTTTCCATGGCATGGAGGTAAACTATATCCCACTGAGCCTCTAATGGGACTTGACGTTCCTTGGGTGGTCAGCAACACTAGGATCACCTGTCTTGCTCTCCACAGCTTCAAGGCTGAAGGGCTTCACGGCATATTACTTCCCTTGTTGTCATCATGCACTTTGTTGAGCTCAAGACAGGAAGCTTTGTTAGTCTGTCTGTAACAGTAGAAAAGAGCAAGAGTTGAGTAGCACCTTAAAGACTAACACAATTTGTGGCAGGGCATGAGCTTTTGTGAGTCACTGCTCACTTCTTCAGATACAGTTAGAATGGGAGTCTATCTGTCCTGTTTATTGGAAAGCATTTGACTGGCCTCCGTGACGTCTTCTTAGAGCAGGAAGAAAAGGAAGGTAGCAGTTACATTTATCTGAGCTGAGATGGACTACAATAGTGTTCTGCCTCTGAGCTTTTTTCCCCTGCTTCTTGGCATTTGCTGAGCTCTCATTTTCTACTTCTAAAATGCAGAACACGTTCATAGCACCTTCATCCTAGCTGTCAAGTTTTGCACCTGAATTTCTTATTCAGGTTACATAAGAACATAAGAACATAAGAGACGCCAATGTTGGATCAGGCCAAAGGCCCATCCAGTCCAACACTCTGTGTCACACAGTGGCCAGAAATACCAGTGCCATCAGGAGGTCCAGCAGTGGGGCCAGGACATTAGAAGCCCTCCCACTGTTGACCCCCCCCCAAGCACCAAGAAGACAGAGCATCACTTGCCCCAGAGCCCCTAGCTATACCTTGTGGCTAATAGCCACTGATGGACCTCTGCTCCATATGCTTATCTAATTCCCTTTTGAAGCCGTCCATGCTTGTAGCCCCCACCACTTCCTGTGGCTATCATGCCAAGCTACATCTTGCCAAGATATCATGCCAAGATATCATGCCAAGTTATCATGCCAAGCTACATCTTGCTCTGAGAATTACAGCTGATTTTTGCTAAGCTTCCTTTTCATTCCATTCTTCCCATCAGCCATCATTTCCTTTCTTTTCTCTTGCCAAATATGGTTGAAATCTTCTTCTCCTGCTACTACTGCTGTACAGTATAGTGTTCATTTTGTGCCTACAGTGTGCAAGAGAGTGCACAATACACATGTTCCCTGACTCTGGATGTTGTATCGTTCTCACTCTCTTCTTGCTTTACCTGAACAGATAACTACCTGATCATGCCATCTGGGAATCTTCAGATTGTCAATGCCAGCCAGGAGGATGAGGGAACTTACAAATGTGCAGCTTATAACCCCATCACCCAGGAAGTGAAAACATCCGTGTCTAGTGAGAGATTGCGTGTGAGACGTAAGTCACCCCTTCTGGATATTTAGGAACCTTGGCTCAAAGCTGTCTTTTGGTGGTGTCCTGTTTTACAGGTGTCAGCAAAACCATTCATAAGCAGATTTTGAGGCTTGCTCTTTGTTGTCTGGGATGTTGTGTTGATGTGCATTCGATACATCAGTACAAAATAATTAATTTGAATTTAAAGATGTAAGTCCTCCACTTTGGAAAATCGTTTGCCCTTAAATTGTTTATTCAGCTTATAGCACCTGTCTCATTTGTCGGTTTCTGCCCTGCATCATGGTGTTTCAAGAGGCCTCTGATCTGGATACATCTTCATTTCTTATGATGGTGCATCCAGAAAGAAGGTGTACACCTATAGGGAGAAGGAAGAAGCCAAATGGGCCTTCATGTGATAATTTGTTCCCCTTCTAGGCAAGTTCCTCTCACCTGTTTCAGGTGGGCAGCTGTGTTGGTCTGGAGTAGAAGAGCTAGATTCAAGTCCAGGTAGCACCTCAGGTATCAACAAGATTTCCCAGGATAAAAGCTTTTGAGAGTCTCTTATTGGTCTCTTAAGGTGCTACTGAACTCCAATTTAGCTCACCTTCTTCGTGTTTTTGTAAAGTTTTTCATATATTTCCCTATTCAGTTACACCAGTTGTAAGACAATATCCACAGGTTACCTACAGTTGAAAAGGCATCTAGAGGACATCAAATCGAGTACCAGGCAGGGGCAAGTGGGACACTTCCTTGCCAGGTTCATCTGGTCCCACCCTCTTCCTGCCAGCTTCCTTTCTTCTTACCACAAGTCCAGACAGTAGGAGCCTATCCATGAGAAGGTTTCACTGTATATTCTCCATTGTTTTTGGTTATTTTAAAAGCTGTATATTACTTAAGACCCTCAAATCATTGATGGCAGAGTAGCCAAACACCTGCCTCATGGGTTGGACCCAACAATATGTCTGTAGAAGTAGTGTAAATTTTCACTGCATTTCCCCCCCCCCCCACACACACACAGCATTCCCTTCCAACCCCCAGAGAGAGTTGATTCCTGGAATTACAGGGCCTGTGTGGCTGTTTCTCCATGGGTGGCTTATGAGCCCAGGGATCTGGAGGGGAACTTGGTGAAAATATGCCTCCATCAGTGCCTTCTGGTAGTGAATCACTGGATCTAACCCCTTGCTGTGGTGTCCTATTTCGCAGGGATTTGGCAGCAGTAAGCTCTCTGCCTTCTCAGTACATTTTCTTGATCTTGATCATAAGCTTTAAAAGAGTCTTACTTTTCTTCCACTGACCTTTTCCCTCTGCTCTAGGCTCAACAGCCGAGGCGGCTCGCATAATTTATCCCCCAGAGACTCAGACTATCATTGTCACCAAAGGCCAAAACCTAATCCTGGAATGTGTGGCTAGTGGGATTCCTCCTCCACGTGTCACTTGGGCTAAGGATGGCTCCAGAGTGTCTGGCTACAACAAGACCCGGTTCCTTCTCAGCAATCTCCTAATCGATATGATCAGTGAGGAAGACTCGGGGACCTACAGCTGTATGGCTGACAATGGAGTGGGTGAAGGCAGAGCTGCATTCATACTCTACAATGTTCAAGTATTTGGTGAGTATGGGAGCAGTTTCCTTTCTCTGAGTATAGTAGCTACAGCTATAATTCAGAGACTGCTCTGTGTGATCATACACATTTTTTCCCAGAACTGTTCTGGAGTGGTTTTTAATGCTCACAAGTATGACATGGCCAACTAAAATTTCACCCAATATTTCTTCAATAGCTGCCTTTTACCCTTTGATTTACTCCCTGGTATCATTAAATAGGCACAATTAAGGATTACCCACCCACCCCAGTTGTAAAGAACCACTAAACAAGAGATTGGCAATTGGAGGCTTGCAGGCCAAGTCCATTCCCCCAGAGTTTTCCTGTCTGGTTCCCTGACATAGCCTGTGACCTCTGATCAGCCACTCCCTCCCAATCAGAGACATGGGGAAATGGCACTTTTAATTCCCTTTCCTGTAGTCTGAATTGCAAGAGGGGTTTGACAAAGGTTTTCAGTTGTTATGACCCCTGCAGCTTACTCCATGCCCAAGCCAAGGAAAGAACAGTGAGCAATTAAGATGCAGTTCTGCCAAGGCCTCAGTTACTGTTCACAATAGGGGACAAGGGGTTAAAGATTCCTTTGACTGAGCCTTGGCTTATGGAATAAGGTATAAGGTGGAGCCAGTATTGCTGGCACTTCAGCCCTTTCTCACTTGAAAATATGTCTGTTGTTAAAAAGTATGTTGTCATCTGAGGTCCTTAAACCACCTAGGAAAGCAAGAAAGTTCAGCTTGGCAGACACTTTCAAAAAGAGGTGTCCAATAAAGCTGGAGATGCAAGATGTCATGAGTCAGGCAGGACTGCTGGTTTTTTCAAGGGAGCAATTGAGTGACATACCGGTAGCTACTCATGAAGCCAAATTGACAGAAATCTTAAAATGCAGCTTCTCTAAGGTAGGAAATTCTAGTAACGTATTAGAATCTTTACTGAATAAAGAGTTTTTCATGACTGGATTCAAAGAAAAGACAGAAAATCAGTGTGAATTTTTAGTATATATTCTGGAAGATTCAGGCTTTGGATTCATGCAGGTTAGATGGCCCAGATGGTTAACAGATCAATGCACAGAGTAGGTTGTTACAGCCTGGGTCTTGATCTAAGGAGACTTTCAACTCTCCTCCTACTTTGAATCTGCCTTAATTGAGTCTGCACAACAGGGAGAATGAAGGAGCCCTGGATGAAGGTCTTCAAATCTCACAGTAATGCTGCCACCATCCTGTTTAGAGGGTATACTGCCCCTAGGCTGAAAGGCACTTTGAAAGTATAATAAATTAGCAAAACAGTACAAGCAGTTTAGGCAAGGACACAGCCAAAGGCATGCAATTCCAAACAAGCACCAGAGCATTAAAACAGAATTGTTTATTGAGAAGCACACACAGACATTCTCAAAATAAACCAAAAAAAGTGTATTCACTAATTAAACATGCAGTAAGCAAGACTGAATACACCGTGAAGAGCAGGCATCAGTTCTTTTAATATATATATATATAATTTTTATTTTATTTTCTACATGAATCCTACAAAGACTACACACTAACTAAAATTACAGCTATACAACGACCATATATGCTACTAATTAATATCTTAAGTCAAAGCTTTTCTCTTATTCAAGTTAAGAATAAAAATTCTATTCTATTATTTTGATTTGCAAAAAATTAAAATTATTGACAATGCAAGATTATATAATGTAATATAAACATTTCTTCAAAAGTTTAAGCTATTTTCTGCCTTTCCTTCCTCTCTTCTTGCTTTTGTCATATTGGGGTGGTTTGGGTGCTGATACTCCCAATTCTGATTCAGATTCTACTTCTGAGTTGCCATCTGCAGATGTTTCGTGGCTTTCCAAGCCATGAGAACTGTCCAGTTCTCCTTCTTCTTCTTCCTCTGTGTTCTTTGTATCCTTTTTGGGTTCCTGATGTCTTTTCAAAAACTGCTTCGCTTTGGTAAAAGAGTCAATCTTTTCTTTTTTGCCTTTGTAGTTGAACATCAAGCCTTCAAGTAGTATCCATCGGTAGGTAGTGGAATTTTCCCATGAATAGGTGGTTAAATTCTTGTATTGTTTTCTCTTCTTCCTTACCTCAAATAGAATGTCTTTTAGTATTCTGATGTCTTCTTCTTTGATTTTCAGTGTAGTCCCAGATGTTGCTTTCAATATTGTGTCTCTTATAGATCTCTTAGAGAATCTGACATATATTTCACCAGGCAGGGTTTTTTTCTTAATAAATTCTGAATATGTCCGGTAGATCATATCCATTTCGCTTTGTAATACTTCCGCTTTAATGCCTGTCAGTGGTGCAAGCGCTTCACTAAGGATTTCTTTCAGATTCTCAGATTTGTCTTCTGGCACTCCTTGAAATCTCAACACATACGAAGATTTTTCCATTTGTAGCTGCAAAAGTTGAGTTTTATCTGAAGATCTTTCTTTTTCCACAACTTTCAGTCTTTGGTCAATTGCTTTAGTCTTGTTTTCAACTGCCTCTGTTCTTTTGTTGGATTCTTTTAGCTGTTTTTGTAAAGACTCCAGGGTCTTGCTGATGTTAGTCATCTGAGCCACCAGAGGTCGCAATGCTGTATCCAGCTTGCCTGCAAAGTCAAAGTTCACTTCCGGTTTAGAAACTGGACGTGTTGAGCTGGCAGTTCCTTGTTGAAGCTTCGCTTTCGCCACCATCTTTTCAGCCCGATAAGACATTGTTTATGTTTTGTAAAAGTTCGCTTAAGTCTTTAGAAGTTTATTTACTTTAACGCCTTAACAGTCTGGCATTGTACTAATTAAATTCAGCTGTCCGCTCAAACACCGCCACTTTCTGTCCCCTCTAAGGCTTTTAAATCTTTGCCGTTTTCAAGGGGTGGGTAGCTTCCCCCCCTCCACTTTTTCTTGGGGGCACCCAGGCTGGCATCTTACTCACGCTCCGCTTCATCAGGTAAGAGAAAATATTTTTGTTTTCGCCGGGTCAGTTGCTCACTGGTCCAGTATGCTCGTCTCATGCCCAAAATGGTTCCGCGGTGGCGGGGACCTATAAGGGCAAGGGGAAGCCTCGATCCTTTGGCCTTGGCCTTGGGAGAGGCACCCCCAATGCCCCAGGCTGGGAGCCCTCTACACGGTCTCTCTCTCTCAGCTTCACAGATGCTGGGGCAAACTTAACAATCAAGCAAATAGATAAAGGAATAGTTCCTGGCATTTTCTTTTTAGAGGAAATAAGGAAGGAGTGGGGTAATGGGATGCAAATTACCATCTCCCATGGACAGTTTTTCAAATGTTTGATCTTTTCGTGTGACACATTATCTGCTAGCTGTGCAGCACTTGAGCTGTGGGCAAAATGGTTGCATGCAATGAAGCATAGTTCTGGATGTTAAGTCCCCTCTTCATAACACACGTTCATGACAGCAACAAATATTTCATAGCCTGCTTCAGAGGCACATGCTCATCTTACACCTGTCCCCAAATAATTTGAAACATGTTCCATTTTCAGAACCGCCAGAGGTTAGCATGGAACTGTCACAGCAAATCATCACATGGGGTCAGAGTGCAAAGTTCACCTGCAAGGTGCGAGGAAACCCCCAGCCATCAGTCGTGTGGCTTCGCAATGCAGTTCCTCTCTTCTCCAGTCACCGAATGCAGCTGTCTCGCAGAGCTCTACGGGTCTCCAGTGTGGGGCCTGAGGATGAAGGGATATACCAGTGCATGGCAGAGAATGAAGTTGGGAGTGCACAAGCAATGGTACAGCTGAGAACTGCCCGCCCTGGTAAGTCTTTAGTGAAGCTAAGGGGGAATAGATATGGAAGTCCATGCTCCCTGTGTTTTTGTCATGTCATGCAGCACAGAAGCTGGATGCTGGTTCAGAAGAATCTTACCATAGCCAGTTTCTAGTATTTAATTTGTTGTGGGCATTCAAGTTTCCTGCTGGAATGGTAAGATTAGCTGTGCCCTGTGTCTGTGACTGTCCTAAATCCCTATTCCTTTCATCCTGTTTTCTCTTCTTTTTGACATTTCCCCCCTTATTCCTTGATCTCTCCTATCTAATCCCTTATGGGAATATCTCAAATACTGCAGAAATCCAGATTTTTAAACTATAGTACAATTTGTAAAGTGGTTACATTCTGAAGATGACTGTAACAGTCAGGCAAGTTCATAAGGAATTAGGCAATACTTCATGTATGGTGGTCCCAAACCGTATATGGCTTTGAAGGTTAAGACCTTGAATTGTGCCCAGAAACAAATTGGAAGCCAGTGTAGGTGGGCCGAGACTGGATTGGCTTTTTCAATTTCATGTAGGGATCTTAACATCAAACTGAAGGTCAACATTTAGATGTACAAGCAGGGGACCTGCAAGGACTTGTAGGAGGCATCTTATTTCCCCCCTCCCCCACTGTTTCCTCTTTTTCTTCCTTGAAAGCCCCCATAGCTTCACCCCTGCTTCCTTCTCTCCTTCTCACCTAACCTAATCTCCCCCCTTCAGGTTTCCCTCTGGCAGCTTCTCCCTGGGAAAACTGGCTAAGTTGTACAGTGCAGCTGGGCCAGGCCTATTTGTGCAGTAGAGAACCTTCAAGGATTTGTGGGGGGGGGGCACTTCATCCTGTGTCCCCTCCCCACAGTTTCCTTTTCCCCATCTTCAGGCAGCCCCCGTCTCTTCACTTTTTCCTGCTTCCTTTTCTCTTTCCAAGCCACCAACCAAACTACCTCTTATCTGCCCCTAATCGTCAGCTCTATGTATTATTTATTTACTTCATTTATATCCTTCCTTTCTCCACAATGGGAACCCAAAGCAACTCACATCATTCTCATTTCCTCCGTTTTATCCTCACAACAGCCTTCTAAGGTAGGTTAGGCTGAAAATGTGTGACTAGACTGAGGACACCTGGTGAGCACCATGGCAGAGTGGGAACTCAACCCTGGGTCTCCCAGATCCTAGTCTGATACTCTAACCACTGCACCACACCAGCATTTATAGGTGGCTGCTTTTGAACAGTAGCAAGCAGCTGGTCTGGGTGAGTCATGCAAGTTGCTTGGTGGCAGGCCTGGCCCCAATAAGTCCTTGCCCAAAGGCCAAAAACAGCCCTGGAGAGGGCCCTGCTCCCCTCCTCGTGCCTTTTACTGACAGAAACCAAGGGTTGAAGGCTAGCAATACTGTTGTGGATGCTTAGCAATAGCTACTGAAGACATTTTTTTCTTAAAGCTACAGGTGCTCCTTTTATCATTTGAGTTGTTTTTCTTAACCCCCAATGTATCTCTTTTAGATTTCAGATTTTTGGGCAAACCTATGTTTTTTTCAGGTTTGGAGAGACATCTGTCTTTTCTGCCCATGGCCCCAGTCTCCAGATTTAAATATCCACAGATGTTGAGAATTGGATATATTGATCACTGATACAGTTTCTGTTTGAGAGTCATGTTTCCTGGTTATTGGATGTGATTGGGTGTCAATTTTGAGAAATTAGGCCTTTTTTCTTCTTTTTTTTTAGTATTTGTGCATTTGCCCAAATGTTAAACATGACCTGCATGTTACTTTTTTCCAGAACCAACACCAAGGTCAGAGCGGAACACTGATGCAGACTCAGCTCTGCCTGCCATGTTGCCTAACAGACTGAGCAACAGTGAAAAAATTGTGAAAGATAAAGCTATGCTAAGGCCAAGGCCTACCACACCTGCAGCTTCTGAACAATGTACTACCAAAGGCCTTGTGTCTCCAGCTGAGGCACCTGTCATCCTTAGCTCTCCCCGGACAACTAAAACAGATTCCTATGATCTCTTGTGGAAACCACGGCATGATGGCAAAGTCCCTATCCTCTACTATCTTGTTAAACATCGCAAGGTTAGCATTTCCTATTTGTTTGTTTGTTTGTTTATGTGCCATCCCTGTTCCATATTTCTTGCTGTCTGCGTAGGCTCTTGAGCATCCTTTGGATGAACAAGGCACTTAATACCGTGTGCTGGCAGGGAGCTCTGTTATGGGGAAGTGATTGCTCTGGTGAATGCTAGATTGAAGAATCAGCAGGAGAGAGGAGATTGCATAAATGCAGGAGGAGGTGTCAGTGGGTGGCAGCTAACCCAAAATGTACACTACACTGTGGTTATGATAAGACTTTGTTTAGATGTTTCATTTTCATTCTTCTTGGTCTCCTACAGAGCCATTCTAAGCAGCATTGCACCTTTTTTAAGTTCATTGAGTAAATGGGCTTAAAAGGGTGTAAGTCTGCTTAGGGTGGCACTGTTGTGGTCCTAATTATTGTGAAACTCTTAATTGTGAAAAACTCTTCCCTATACAAGTCGAACAGGCAAAATTAGAGACTTCCTGGTTATTGTCTCCAGGAATAGAGACTGAACTGTGACTTTTTAAAATGGAATATAGTTCCAAGTCACAGTCCAAGTATTGATTCCACACTAATATGATATCATATTAGAGCCAGAGTGGTGCAGTGGTTAAGAGCAGTGGGCTCAAATTTGGAGAACCAGGTTTGATTCCCCGCTCCTCCATATGAAGCCTCCTGGGTGACCTCAGACCAGACACAGTTCTCTCAGAACTCTCTTAGCCCCATCTACCTCACAACGTGCCTGTTGTGGGGAGAGGAAGGGAGAGCAATTGTAAGCCGCTTTGAGACTCCTTAAAGTAGAGAGTATAAAAACCAGCTCTTCTTCTTCAGGGCATGCAAGCTTGGAGCTGGTCCTTCTGTGTGTTTTTGAGTGGGTTAGGTTGTTGCTTTTTTCCAGAGCTTCACCTGGAAAGTTCTTGGGTCAGGAGGAGTCACCAAGGGTCACTGCATTTAGCACTAATATGTTTCCAGCACAGAGCAAATTCTCAGCTGGAGACTCTTTCTTGTGTCTTAAAGGTCTTTACAGATGGGGCCTGTTCCTGTTAACCCCTACATTACTGACACTAGTGCAACTAGTAACCAGCCAGATAGTCAAAATGGGCTTTGTATAATGGAGGAGTGTTTAACAAAACTGAATAGACCTGATTGTGTCAAAGCTCATTACAAGAACACATTGTGGCATGTTTTTCACTGGGGATGTAGATATATTTCACTGTTTATAGAGTGTTCCAATGTCATCCTTGCTAGTTAAATAACTTTGACTTCTGCAATCTTGTAATTAAACATTACACCAAAAACTCTTTAAACATGTGTGCAAAAGTTCAAATCAGCTTGCTCTTAGACCCATATAAATGCGTTCACAACAGATTTCAGGACTAGGATCTGTGTTTAAGTTACCTTAGCCTGGAGAGGAAGAGGGTGCATGTGTATAAAGATAGAAGTAGTTGCACCAGTTTTGGGTAGAGGTGTAGGAGCTAGGAATGTGCACCTTAAAAAAATGACATTTTTCATGTTCAGATTTCAGGAAGGGCATAAATACTGGTATTCAATGCAGCTCAGGTCTCCAATACCATTTCAAGGTTTGAGTTTTTCAGGGATTCTGTAATTGTTCAGGTTCCATTATTCCTTATGGGGGGCTTTTGGGGGAGGCGGTGGGATTGAGTGGCTATTTTTCAACCAAATGACACCAAGGTTCCAGGGGATTTGTTCACTAAATACCCCTGCAAGTTTCAAGTGAATTGAACCAAGGGGTCCGAGTCTACAGGTCCCAGGACAAGGTGCCCCTGCCATTCTATGTGCAAGGGTGCAGACTGGGAGGGGGGGGGAAACAGCGCTAGAAAGGGGTCCCACCCCTACAAAGGAGGGGAAGGAGAAAGGGTTAGCTGGACTCACAGGGCACCTGCCTTAATGGGGCCAAGAGCTGCCTTCCATGGTCAGGCAAGAGTCACATTGGCTAGGAGCCACCTTCCCGAGCCTGGCAAGGCTTGTGCTGGCTGGGCGCTGCCTCCCCTGAGTCAGGAGAGATGCCCCCCTTGCCCTTCCTATTGGCTGGGAAGCCTGTTAAAGAGGGAAACAACAGGCCTTGGATCCTTGAAATTTTGGCCCCGGATATTCCTGAATAATTTCTGAAATATATGGGACTCAGATACTGGTATTCCTGAGAATTTTGAACACCTCTCAGGATACCCAAATATACCAATATATATTTGGTATGTGTTTGGACTGGATATTTCTGAGTACACATCCCTAATAGGAACTAGGTGAATACAGAAGAGGCTGGGGAGATATGGCCACCTTGAATCACAAGGAAAAGTATAAATATTTTAATTAATAAATAACATAGCTAATGAGAGTTCTAGAACTGGGAGCAGTAGAAAATATCCAATAAATGTAGGCCTTGTTTAAACACCATCTTATAGTGCTCTTAGCCTGGAAACTGTGAAATTTATTTTAAGCTGCTCAGTGTTTTGATGCTCTGGTTGGGCTGTTATTGCTGGAATTTAATTAATAACTTTTAATATTGTATATTTTTATTCTGTTTTATTTTGTAAGCTGCCTTGGATAGGTTCCCTGGAGAGGTGTTATACATTTCCCCCCTAAATATATAAATAACAGAAATGGAGTTTGATGAACATTTATTTAGGGCATTGTTAACTTGTCATTCTCCTATACAGGACTGAAGGTGGGTTACAATGCTATTTAAAATAATTAATTAAATTTAGGTATTACTGTAAAATGTCAGTTGAAAAACAAACTCCAAGCCTGGATCCTCTTCATACAACAACCATCCAGAAGCCTGGAAAGTGTTGTGTTCAATGCAGCATAATGTATATAGCATGGAGACCTAATATTTAGAAAGAACTGAGCATTTGCAGTGAAATCCTAAACACAATTATACCTTCAAAGTTTGTGGACTTGGAAGGGTGTGGCTGTACTTAGTACTGCACTGTCAGTCTTTTGGGGACACAATTCTTTCTGAGACAAATTGCAGCCAGGAAGTCAGGTCATCATCTTACTGTGAACAAAACTGATCATTATGTTTGTATTGTTCACTAAGTTCAAGGCAAGTTACACATTTTTAAGTAAAATAAAGTCAAGCAAAGGAAGAGTATGAAAAAAATAGATTTTAAACTTCCTCATACTGTGTCACCTGCCAAGGGATTTTCGAAATGGATATATTTTTTATCCGAACTGTATACGTAACAGAATTCACTCCATCAGTTTAGCACAAAAAGCAAAACTCCCCCATGGCACTGTCCACCCTCCCTCCCTTCCAACAATTTTGAACCTAACATTCCTCTACTAAACCCTCAGGCCGTGTAAACAAAAACAGGGAAACGTTATTCTGTCAACTTCAGATATTCATGGATGATCAGTTGAGGAGTTCCTCATGTCACCATAACCTTTGCACAACAGGACTTTGTTGGAATGCTTTCTTTCTGCTGGAAAAGCCATTAGACAGGCAGGTCAGAACCTAAAGATTGGTTACGATATGAGAGGGCATGCCCCTGGGGGAAATTGATGGATCTTTATGTTTCACTCAACTGCAAGGTGAAATGTTTAGCCAAGGCATCTCTTTAAGGGAAGAGTATACTGCGTGATCCAGAAAGAGAGATTCACCTGTTCTAGTAGGCTTCTTGTAGAGACAAAATGCTCATCTGCCACTTTGAACTGACCAAACATTTATTTTCATGCATCTGGGGATGTGGATCTCCATTTTTGATGCCTAGTTGCTAGATTAGACCAGTTGCACATAACTAGATGTTTAGTGCAAAAATATTTTAAAAACCCACGCATTCAGATATTGGAACTGAGTTTGTTGTTTACAGGTTTCCATGATACAGAAATACCACTGGACTTACTTAGGGCAGGTGGTTTCAGCGCTGTAATATTTTGTGGGTGCTGACACCCACCGACAAGTCTGTGAACTGCAAATTAGAATGTGAGGAAGAATCCTTCAAAATATCGGCCCCCCCTTTATTGATAAAATTGTATGATTACTCTGTGGTAATATGGTGGTATTTCTGGACTTGTAAATAGCTGATAATCTCAGCTGTATTCCTATACTCTCATCTCACTTGGAGAATGCTTAAAAATTCTTACCCAAGTAATACTGTCATGCCAGTGAGAAGGTGAGGGAACAGGTCACAACAAGGCCAAAACTTTTGTTTTGTTTTCCAACTCTAGTGTGCTGTTAATTGAGCTTTGTGCTGAAAAGAGTCCTTTAAGTGGTAGTAATTCAGTAAAAGAATGATGTAAAGTAGCTTAAAAGTGGTGAGAAGTAAGCTTTAACATTTCAGATCTGCTTTAGCCAAAGCTGGTATTATGTTATCTCTCATTATTGTTTCTTGTTCTTCAATAGGTCATGAATTCATCAGACAGTTGGACAGTCAGGAATGTCCCTGCCAGTCAGCATCGTCTCACTTTGACAAAACTTGATCCAGGGAGCTTGTACGAGGTGGAGATGGCTGCTTATAACTGTGCTGGAGAAGGCCAGACAGCCATGGTGACCTTCAGAACTGGTAAAGATCAAGAATTTTCAATAAAGTTATAATCTATCTCCTTGTGAGGAAATGAAAATGTATTGGTTACTAAGGTTGGGGTCACACACACGACACGCCAGAAAAAATGGGGGTGGTGGTAAGCGAGGCTATTTCCTCTGGAGGAATTTGACCCGCAGTTGCGCGATCACACAGTCCTTGGAAGCTGCAGGGGCAGCCCACCACTGCGTGATCAGACACAACTGCAGGTAAGCCAGGGTGGGGTGGGGTTTGCCATTAGTTTCTGATGTGCTTAAACGAGGAATCAATGAAACGCATCTCTGCACTGAGGGCTCCCTATGGAGTCTGTGATGATGCACATACTGCGAAGGTTGTGTGTGTGACAACGGCACGGAGTCAGGATGGCCTGATCAGACCATCCTGATGCCATGAGAGCGCACTGGAGCGATCAGACAGTGGAAAGTCCATCCGTGGCCTGTCGCAACCCGTTTTCTACCGGATTTCCCCCGATGTCTTTTAACTCTGCTTCTGCGGCAGAGCAGAACGGGTTGCAGACGGCTGCGGGGTGCTTACCAGATGTTGTTGTCTGATTGTGCCCTTTAAATCCGCCTGGCATTCGTGCCTATGGCGGGTCTAATTGTGTGTATGATCATGGCCTAATAGTGGTACTACTTGAAAATTATCTTTCCTTGCTTTTTTTCCCCTCCCAAGTGTTCATCAGACAAGGCTACATTTCTATCTAGCAGTAGTTGTCTGTCATATAAGGTATCTTCTGTCTAGGTATCATTATAAGACATAGCATTTTGAAGGAAATATTATTATTATTATTATGTTATTGTTGGAGAGCCAGTGTAGTGTAGGTTAGAGTGTAGTGTAGTGTGGGTTGGTCCATGTGTGGCTGGTCCATGGGGTCGCGAAGAGTCGGACTCGACTGTGCGACTATGGACTGGGAAGGCCTTTACAATCTCACTGGGTAACTTTGGGTCAGGCTCCTGCGTGTGCGCTCTCTCTCTCTCGTTCTCTCAGCCAAATCTGCTTCACAGAAGTTTTTGTTTGCATAAAATTGAACTATGAAAGAACCATGCCATGAATTCCTTGGGTTAAAAGGGCAGGATAAAAATGTCACAGACAGATAACACCACATTTAGGGAATTAAAAGCACAAGGTACATTTTCCTTCTTGCACATGGAAACAAATGGTGACAATTAGAAAGTTTAATTACACACTCAGCACCCCAGAGTACCACATCACAGTCAGCAAAAGACCTGTTGAAATCCTTGAAATATAAGCACAAAATAATAGCCTCCAAACCTCATTACCCCTTCCCGTCTTTGCTAACTGTGTGTTTTGTTTAGGACGGCGACCAAAACCAGATATTGTTGCCAGTAAAGAACAGCAGATTCAGAAGGATGACCCAGGCATGAGCACTCGAAGCAGCAACCAGTCTGACAACACTCGCCTGTCCCGTAAGGCCATGTCAGATTTCAGGCAGAAATTGGGGGGGGGGGGGGGCACAGAAGCCAGGTGGTTTGGGGACGATGGGGATTTGAAAAAGCTTGATTTGGAATGTGAATAAGAAAAAGGAAAGACTGACAGAAGGAGACAGGCAGGAAGAAGGTTTGCTTAGCTCTCTTGGTCTCTCGAGTCCTTCATTAGGCCATGTTTCTCTCCAAAGTATGGGTGATTCTTTTTTCTGGCAACAAGCACCTGTGGGCCAATGGGCCACCTGATATAATGGAATAAGAGGCCTGTATCCTTGCTGAACTCTAAAAGAAAAATGCCGGCATTGTACTGTTCTATAGGAATGTAGCCCAAGTGGAGGCAGGAAGTGCAGTGCTCCAACAGCACACTGATCTTGCCTCACTTTAAAAAGAACCAGGCTTCATTTGCGATGTGGCCACTTCCATTCAAATAATGACACATTGTTTTTAGAATAGCAACAGTTTACAATTTAAAAAAAATCTGTGGTAGCTGGTGCCCCCACAAAATACTCAAGCTCCAGATTGTATCCACCTGAGCTCCACCCTCTCCAGATTCCACCTTGATCAGAATGGATTTTTCAAGATCATTATCACCATTTATCATGCTTTGTAATCTTGAAAATATCCCCCTTCAGCTGCTTTGACAGTGATGCTGCCAAGATGGTTTTATTTTTTTCTTTACATGATGTATAGCCTGCCTTTCTCACATGGACTCAAGATAGTTAACGGGCAAAGTCTTATGTTTTTAAACAAGTTCTTTATTGAGAGTAGGTAAAAGCACCTGAGCTTTAAATGTGGCTGTATTTCTGATGCTGATAGTGAAGAGACATTGAATATACAGATGCTTGAGCTTTCTAGACAGTCATCTAGAAATGTGACTGTCAACCCTATCTAGCTAGGGAGGCTGGATATAACCCCGCTTCCTTATGCTGAAACTTGGGGATGTTGGCTTGTACCCTGTGATGTGGAAGGCACAGGCTTAGTGCAGTTCCCTCTGTGCAAGACCTTGTGCCTTTCATCCCTATATATTATAGAGCAAAGAAATCGGTTGCACAAGATCTTGCACAAGTGGAAATGCAAGTGGAGATATAGTAAGTTTGAGTCAAACTGTTCGACTTACTGCAAGTGGCCACCACAGTCTTCTTCTTGTGATTCCACTCGTGCAGCTGTTCTAGTGCAAGCAGAAATTTTGTGATGGATCCAACTCTTTGATTTTATGTCTTCTAAGATGACTCCTCTGTTACTTACAGCTCCAGAAGCTCCTGATCGCCCCACCATTTCAGTGGCATCTGAAACGTCTGTCTATGTGACTTGGATCCCCCGGGGGAATGGAGGTTTCCCCATTCAGTCATTCCGAGTGGAGTACAAGAAACTGAAAAAGCTAGGGGACTGGGTGCTAGCCACAAGCAACATCCCTCCTTCTCGTCTCTCTGTGGAAATTACAGGACTGGAGAAAGGTAGGAGACCTACTTTCCTTAGCTCACGGGCTTGTTGTAGCCCTTGAATAAACCATACTCTTTATAGTGGTTTCATACTACGGTTATTGCTGTAAACATCTATGCCAAGGGGGATAGTTTCAAATTTGATTATTCCTTTCTGTTCCTTTTCCAAGGAGGTATGAAGTTCTGCAGATGCTTTCTTGCATTTTGTAGTTTTTCTGCAGAGATCAAAAGCTTCTCAAGAACTGGGGCCAAATTACAGGTTGCATGCAAAGGTGTGCAGCTACAATTCAGCTCCACTCCATAAAAAATATTCAGGAGAGGTCAGTTGAGAGCAGGAAAGAGGGCTTTAAATCCTTCCTTGCCCTCTAATTCCTCACCACCTCTCAAGTCCCTTTTTCCTTTGCAGGGTTTCAGATACATTTATATACCCATAAACTCATTTTCTCCTGCCAACCTAGCAGTTCGAAAGCAAGAAATTGCAAGTAGATAAATAGGTACCACTTCAGTGGGAAGGTAACAGCGTTCCGTGCGCCTTGGTGTTTAGTCATGCCGGCCACATGACCACGGAAACGTCTTCGGACAGCGCTGGCTCTTCGGCTTTGAAACGGAGATGAGCACCGCAACCCTAGAGTCGGATTCGACTGGCTTTCGAGCAAGGGAACCTTTACCTTTACCTAAACTCATTTTGGAATCCTGTGGAGGAACAAGGTGGTGGGGGTTGGGGGTTGATTTGGAGCAGAGGAGTCATAGGTGGGGAGTGTTCTTAGCGATATCTCTTGCTGCTGCTGCTGCTGCTTCATTCACAGTTGCCCCCTCCCAAAGTGGCTTTTGTTGTGGAAAGAAAACCTAGTAGCCTAGCTTTACATGTTTCACATTGCAATTCTAATCAGAGTTACATCCTTCTAAATCTAATAAAGGCAATGGGTTTAGAAGGATGTAACTGATAGTTATTTTCATTTATAGTCCACCTTTTTCACCAGGACCCGAGGCAGATTACAGATATGATACACTTTTCAGTCAATCAGTAAGTGGATTGGCTTTTGTTGTGGAAAGAAAACCTAGTAGCCTAGCGTTACATGTTTCACATTGCAATTCTAAGCAGAGTTACATCCTTCTAAGTCTAATAAAGGCAATGAGTTTAGAAGGATGTAACTGATAGTTATTTTCATTTATAGTCCACCTTTTTCACCAGGACCCGAGGCAGATTACAGATATGATACACTTTTCAGTCAATCAGTAAGTGGATTACAAGATATAACAACGTTTGAATCTAACAGCAAAGATTTCCAGTAAGACAAAAAAATGCAGTTGGGCTGGAATTGTAAAACCAGGGGAAAGCCCAAATAATGCATACAAACATATTTGTTTTAAGGCAGCAGGACAATCAGTGAGGGAAAGACTTTATCCCTAATAAAAGTCACCTCTTGAGCTGAACCACCACAGCTTTGCTCCTTCTACAATTTGCAAAACTATGGCTGTGATCACACACACTAAATAATCAATTTTCCATGCACTTTCCAACTGGATCTTGCCAGTTCACAGAGTTAAAATCCAGTTGGAAAGTGCACTGAAAGTGGATTGAAATCGGATTATTTAGTGTGTGTGACTGCAGCCTATAGCTGGCATTCAGTCTTCCCTGTTTTCTGGAGTGACAATTCAGACAGTGCTAGAAACAAAACTTTTAAAAAGCAGTCATGGCCTTTGTGGGGAGAACAAAACTGAACCGAGGCTTCTGCTGCTTAGATGACTGGGCAAGAAACAGCTGCTTTGCGTTGTGTCCCTTTTCCACCTGTTCAGATGGAATGGCTCAGTTTTCAGGAAGAGAGTAACAAGGGTCTTACCAAGGTCAGATACCACTCCCCTGTTCACTTCCGTTGTTTTCTCATTCCTCGCTCTAGGCATGTCCTACAAATTCCGGGTACGAGCACTGAACATACTGGGGGAGAGTGAACCCAGCGCTGCGTCTAAACCATATGTGGTATCAGGTTACAGCAACCGTGCATATGAGCGTCCTGTTACTGGCCCGTACATCACCTTCACTGATGCCATCAACGAGACCACCATTATGCTGAAATGGATGGTAAGTAGCAAGGACTAGGCTTGCTACTTGAATACAAAGAATGAATGGAACCTGTTTTGTTGTTGTTGTTTTTGTTCTACTGTGCTCAGTAGAAAACTGCAATATCTGTCAAAAGACTGCATCTGAACTTTTGCACACGGTGTCACGTTATTGATTTTGTGGGTATGATCTTTCAAGATCACACTGTCTCAGCATGCAGCCCTGGAAGCTGACCAGGTGATCCTGGGCCAGTCCAACACTCTCAAAATGTCATTGTGAAGATAAAACCAGAAGGGAGAACTATGTAAACCTTTGAGGAAGGGTGGGATAATAATGTATTAGACGTCACAAAAGATGTGGAGAGGGCTTCTGAATAGCCAGTGCAGTGTGGAGGGCACAATGCAGGTAGCATGGAAAGAGAGAACTATGCAGACAGCATGCTGCTCTAGTGTTATGGCAATATATTATCAAAGAGCAACATAAACATGTTGATGTGACTTAAAATGCTAAAAATATCGGAAGGTCTTCTTTTTAAGATGGCGGGAAGAAGGGATTAAGAGTAAAATACTAGTGTTATGGCAATTCAAAGAGCACTGGAAATTTTATCAAAGTGTTATGGCAATATATTATCAAAGAGCAACATAAACATGTTGATGTGACTTAAAATGCTAAAAATATCGGAAGGTCTTCTTTTTAAGATGGCGGGAAGAAGGGATTAAGAGTAAAATAGGATGGGAACTGGTTGGGCAGAGAGAATTGCCCAGGGCAACATAACCTAGTGGTAAGGCTTTGGGTTCTTGTGGAAAATCACTGGCATCACCAATTAATTGATCTCAGATAGCCACACTGGGAAGAGCTGCTCTAGAGAGCTGCTGTCTGTCAGTGAAGACAGTACTGGGCTAAAGGTATCTCTAGCCCCGGTCACACGGGAGACTTTGGCCCGGGAGAGGGACGGATCGGGGGCGCAGCAAACGGGCGTGATCTCACCGCAACATCTGGGAAGCGGCGCGCACCCGTCCCCGGTCCGTCCCTAAACCCGGAAAATCCGCTGCAAAAAAGAACCTCCTACAGAGGAGGACTTACCTGAAGCACCGCTGCAAGCATGGCCGTGGGATCGCTGCCGCGCCCGTCGTCTGGATCAATCCAGGCTTCCCGCCGAACTGCGCATGCGCACACATGCGCAGTTCAGCTGTTGCGCTCTTTCTTCAGTGGCTTCCCCCCGGCATCTGATCGTGCCGGGGAGGAAGTGCACGGCAGCTCAGGGGATCTATGTGATCCCGCCGCTGCGTCTCTCTTTTGGTGCGGCTTTAGAAAGCTGCACTTTGCCCGTGCTATCCCCCCCCCCCCACATGTGGCAGGGAGCTCTGTTTGCATCTGGTAAACAGCAATATCAGTCTGAAGACAGAGGGGAGGACAGCGAGACAAAAGGGCTTGCCTTATGATTTAGTGTCCTACAGTTTTGAGAACTGCTTTACCCAAACATAAGTCCCCTGCTAGATCAGACCAGTGGTCCATCTAGTCCAGCATCCTGTGGCATGCAGTCACAAACCAGTTGCCCTGGAGGGTAAAAAAACAGAGCATAGAAGCCAAGGCTTTTCCTTGAAGATGCCTTCGAGCACTGGTATTCAGAGGTTTCCTGCCTCTGGGTCCAAAAGTTCCCTTTAGTCACCATTGCTGGTAGCCATTGATGGACCTCTCCTCCATTAATCTGTCACCCCCATTTAAATTCATGTATGCTAATGGCCACCACTATATCCACTGGCAGTAAATTCCACTATCTTACTTCTTGCTGAGAGAAGAAGTACTGCCGTTGCTTTGTATATTTTCCATTCTGGTGTCATAATGACTTCTTCAGATATTCCAAGTTTATCTTCCCACCATCGCCCAAAATCATGGGCAGGCCTGAAAGCAAATGGCTGTTGGTAAAGCACACGTGCTACATTCTCATTCACCTGATGGGAAGGGAGCACAGTTTGACTACACTCAGTGAGTGCACAAGACATTTGATCTTTGATGTGCAGCTTAGTGAGGGATATGTTCCTATTGCACTCCTCAGAAAGTATTGGGAACTCCGCAAGATTGGATAGTTGACAAATGGGCTGAACAGGTTGGGGTGGCCCTCAGGATCTTCTTTCTTTTATTACCACCTGGTGAAAATATCAGTTATGGGGTTCTGAGAAACAACATTTCCTGCATCAGCTCCATAGAAGAGCTGCTTTGATGAGCTCCCATGCTTCTGTTAATCTCTGCCTTCCACTCTTCCCTACAGTACACTCCAGCCAGCAATAACAATACCCCAATTCATGGCTTTTACATCTATTATCGGCCAACTGACAGTGATAATGACAGTGACTACAAGAAGGATGTGGTTGAAGGTAAGAGTTACTGGTTAGCTGGCTCCTACTGTTACTTGCCACGAAATGACTACTAGCCACCCACTAAAAAGAGTGCATATGGAAAGAGCTCCTTGGTTGGATGATGCCAAGATTCCACTACATTTGGCTAGTCTCAACAAAATCTAGTAGTGAAGTTCTAAGAACACTTTCCTGGGAGGACGCGCCGCTGAGTAAGATTCTGCTGAGGATTGCGCTGCAAAACGCTTTTAATAGAGTGTCACTCACAAGATAATGGCAGAACAGCTCTTCCCAGCATTTCTGTGTCACTATGCAAGAAAGGTCTTTGTTTGTTTGTTTGCTATTAACTGTACTACCAGTGCAGTCCTTTGCAGAGTTCCTCCAGTCTAAGCCTACTGACTTTGATGGACACACTAGTTCAACTCTGCATAGGGAATGCACTGTGTGTTATCCCTTGGTCATATAGGGAAGTGGTGACACTGATGTATGTTGCCTCTTACTCAGGTGACCGGTACTGGCATTCCATCAGCCATCTACAGCCAGAGACTTCGTATGACATAAAAATGCAGTGTTTCAACGAGGGTGGAGAGAGCGAATTCAGCAACGTGATGATCTGTGAAACCAAAGGTAGGCACGGGGCTTCACCCCCACTGATGGTTGTTATTCAGAATGGTTTTAGAAGAGATTGAGGTGAGGTCTAGAAATATGTCCACAAACGATGGAACTGGAGATTAAAATAATTAGCTAACTATGTAATGAACAAAGGCAAGAGTCCTGATCATGATGGAACTGGAGGTTAAAATAATTAGCTGTGTAATGAACAAAGGCAAGAGTCCTGATCATCTGAGTGCATTCTTTCTATGCCCACCTTGAAAGCCATCTCTTGCCTATCAGATGCCTGATGCCAGCAGAGGCTTATAATACTGTATGTACTCAAGGTCTCTGCTGGCTCTGCATATGACATGGTCCTATTGGCATTGCAACCTAGTTCAAAGAGGAACTGTGACTAGTAGCTGTGACAGGCTTGAAGATGAAAAAAGTGACTCACTCGGTATGGATACTATACAATAGGTCCATTTTGTTAGGAGGTTATTAAGGTGCTTTGTTCCATAGTTTGGAACAAATACTAGGCTGATTGAATACTGTATCCATTTCCGAAATTGCAGTGGAGGCTGGTCTCCTTAGTTCATATTGGTAGACGAGAGAAGGTCTGGCTTCACTAGCCCTACTCAACATGGGAGTCAGAAGGCAGTGCATATGGATTTCGTTAAGTGCAGCCTACCCTTAGTTCATATTCTGCACACATCACACTGTCACTGAGTCAACCCTGTACATACAAGTCCGGGCTAAAACTCAAAGAGGCTAAGCTATGGAACAACAAGAAGTCATCTGTGGCCCAACTGAAAATTCTCCAGTAGGTAATAATCATTTGGTTCTCCTTGTAAAACTGAGTAGCAAGAAAAAATGTTTACAGTAATAAACTATGAATCACTTTGCTTAGGTTCTTTAAAGGGGCATATTTTCACATATGGGTGCATAATGTTTCACATTTAAACTGGGCTAAAGAAAAGTGATGCATCAAGTGAAAAGCAGATTGAGCCAGAGAGATTCCACACAGAGGTGTGTAGAGAAACATAAGTAACATGTAAATATATTAATCCTTTTTTTCCCCTCCTAAAGCTCGTAAATCTTCGGGCCTGCCTGGTCGCCTTCCACCATCTACAGTATCCCCTCAGCAGCATCAGCCTCCCAACAGTGGTCATAATGTCCTCGGAGCCGGGGCCATGGTCGCTCGCTCCAGTGATTTGCCCTACTTGATTGTCGGAGTGGTGCTGGGCTCCATTGTTCTCATCATTGTGGCTTTCATCCCATTTTGCCTTTGGAGGGCTTGGTCCAAGCAGAGTAAGTGAAGTCGAGGCCCAAAACCTACTTGGAAAAATGTGTGTGAACATACCCTTGACTGAAAGTTATGGTGCTGTAATAAGGAGAATTGTGGGTTTGTTCTGACTACAGCTCATGGAGTGCCTGTTCGTAGGATCATTCCTGAAAAGTTGCATGAATAACTTATCCTGCCATAACTGTAGTATGTGCATATAATTAGGTTTTACTGGCGTGAGCCTAGAACAGTCTGAATCAGCTCTGTGGCTTAAAGCAGCCTTTACTAATCAAGCTCCGAATAATCTGTCCTGTCCTCACTCTGAGTACTTTTCCTTCATCTTCCTTGGTGGATTTGTCTGGTGTTTCCAGTTACACTTGGCAGCTAATGTTGGACCTGTGCTCTTAATTCAAAATGTGTATTCTTTTCTTTGTCATTTCAGAGCAAACCATAGACCTGGGCTTCCCTGGAGCAGGGCTGCTAGTATCATCTTGCCAGTACACCATGGTTCCACTGCGAGGGGTCTCCACTCCTCGAGCCAATGGATTGCGTTTTGCAAATGGGGTGCATCTGCCAGTACACCAGGTTGCTAATGGCCATTTTCCTCCAGCTACAATAGGATACTCAACTGCAAAGCCACAAGATTATAGCTCAGATGAAGTTTATCAGGTACTTTCTCCAGGCAAAGTACATGATATTGCAGATTATATTTCTCATATTTCCTTCTCTGATAATGACAACCAAGCAAAATCATTCTGGAATTCCATTTGGTGTGTGTTCATAGTTGCTTTCTGCCTTGCAAAGCAAAAGTGAAAAGGACAGCAAGCTGGCACCAACTTCATCCCCTTCCTAAAATGGAAATGTGAGGAAACCTTTAAAACATATTGTAGATTGAACAAGCATGTGCTTAGTCTGCAGATTCTGAATGAGTGGATAAAAGCAAGAGAAGAACACACAGGCTGTCCAAGAGCTAACACAGTTGCTGGGAGCTAATGCAAACAGTTCATTCACAAAAAATGATTTGAAAGCATTTCACTCTTGGCAATGTAGAAGAGGCAGTTTCTGTAAGGATTA